TCACAATAACCACAAAAACCACAACCATTAAGATAGTGCCATTTATTATCCAGGCACCATGCTAAATGCCTTTTGTCTCATTTTATTCTCACAACAATCCTGGAAGCTAGTGGTTATCATTATTCCCATTTTTATAGACCTTTTGTTGCATCATCCACAGGAAAGCTGACTCATCTGTGGGCCACTAGTTAATAGGTAAAAAAAGAAAAAACATGATCATGGATTCCATGATTTTCCACTCATTAGGAAAATCAAGGTTGATTCCTCTTGTGAATATTAGGAACTATTCAATCTCTCTGCTATGTATTCATGGTTGGGGGGGGAGGTGAGGAAAAGAGCCTAATTGAACCCCAGGGATTCAGCCCAAAGTGACAAAAGCCTCATAAACATCATTCAGTTGCCATCATGTTTCTATCTTCTTGAAGAGACATTTCTCCTTTTACATGTAAGGTTGGAAATTCTGTAGGCTCTGGAATTCAGAGTATATCACATATTGCTCTGCTTTCAGATTTAATTTGTTTGTGTTTGACGTAGGAATTGTAGAATAGGAAGTGATGAGGAAAATCTTGGTGATGGTATTGTAATGGTTAGAAAAAAAAATCAGCTTATAATTGAAAGTATCCTCCAGAAAGACTCGAATTCCAATCTCCATCTGTACCATACTAGTTTTGTGTCCTTGGGAAAGGTATTTAAGGTGTGGAATTTCACTTGCAAAATACTGATTTTAATACTTCCTTACTCAATAGTTACGAAGAAATCACTATAAGCTTCAAATTCTATACAAATGTAAATGTCTATTCTTCAGTAGGATTGAAAAAAAAAAAGATTTCCTTGCAACCAAGAATAAAGGGGGAAAAATTTAGACTTTTCCTAGAAAAGCATTTCTAATACTTCTGTCATTAGTTAGACATAGCATGCTGGGTAAATCAGTTCACATCTGTGGACCTTCGTCTCCTTATGTATAAGATGAGGGAGCTAGACTTAAGTTTATCTAAGGTCAGGAACATTCAATTCAACAAGCATCTACTGAATTAGGGATATTTGTGAGACTCTGTGCTAAGACTGAAATTGAACAATCCGAACCCTCGAGTAGTAAAGGAATATATATATATATATATATATATATATATATATATATATATACATTTTCTACTAGAGGAAATCTCTCTCTCTCTCCCTCTCTCTCTCTCTCTTTCTATATATATATATATATATATATATATATATATATATATATATATATATATATATATATATACATATATTATAAACACACACACACACACATGTATACGCAAAACACAGAGAAAAGGAAAAGAAAGCAATGCTGAGGAGAGTAGGAACAATTAGAACTTAGGAGACCAGGAAAGACGTCCTGCTGCAGAAAGGGGCAGCAGATCTCTATTCTGAAGGCAGAGGTAAGGAGGGAGATAATCCCAGGTTCGGAGATAATCCAAGACAAAGTCATGGAAAGGGTGGATGGAATGGTACTTCAGGTTGAAACGAATAATCACCCACTCAATTACAATGTATCAGGCAGGCACTGCCCTAAGCACAAAGGAAATAACCAAAAAAATGACAAAAAGGCAGTCCCTACTCCCAAGCAGTTCTCAGAAGTCCTCAAGAAATTCTAGTGAGGGAGACAACATGCAAAGAACTATGGATGAACAAGCTATATACAAATAAATTGAAGATAAACAGAGGGAAAGTACTATCTTTAAGTGATAATGCCTTGGGAATTGGGAAGGCTTCCTTTAGAAATAGAGATTTCAGCTTGGATTTGCAGGAAACCAGTGAGGACAGGAGGTAGAGATGAAGATGGTGAGCATTCCACACAAGGAGGACGGGCAAGGAAAGTGTGTGGAGGGGCAGCTAAGTGGCTCAGTAGATAAGCTCCAGCCTTGAAGTCAGGAGGACCTGAGTTCAAATCCAACCTCTGACACATGACACTTACTAGCTGTGTGACCCTGGGCAAGTCACTTAACCCCCATTGCCTCACCAAAAGGCAAAAAAAAACAGTGTGAGGAGACAAGATGGCATGTCTTGGTCTAAGAAGAGCAAGAACAGTGTAGTTGCATTGCAAAGTATGTGTAAATGAATAAGTGCAAGAAGATGGGCAAGGCAGGAGGGAGATAGCTTATAAAGGACTTTGAATGCCAAACAGAGGATGTTACATTTGACCTTGGAGCTAAAGAGAACTACTGGAATTTACTGAATAGGTTGGGTGGGGGACGAGTGACAAGATCAGACTTGAACTTTAAGAACATCCATTCCACAGCTGAGCACAGCATAGCCTGTAATAGGGAGAGACCTGAAGCAGGAAGACCAACTAGAAGGCAATTGAACTAGTCCATGCATGGGGTGATGAAGGCCTGTACCAGGGAGTGGATAGACACAGTAGAAAAGGGAACAAATATGAGAGATGTTACAGAGCTTGTATTGATAGTATCTGGCAACGGGTGGCAACTGAGATTTAAGCCTGGGTGACTGTTTCCTTAACAGTATTAGGCAACTTTGAAGGAGACGGGTCTGGAGGAAAGATGATAAGTTTTGGACATGTTGAGTTTAGTATGTCCAATGTGAGCAACACTCAGTTGGAAATGTAAGACTAGAGGTCAAAAGAGAGGTTAGGACTGGATAAGTAGATTTAAGAAATATTCATAGCATCCATGAGAGCTGATGAGGTCACCAAACCAATAACAGTTTGGAGAAGAGGGCCCAGGACAAAGCCCTGGAGAATACCCCAAACTGGACAGTATGGCCTGGGCAAAGACGTAGCAAAAGAGATGGAAAAGTAATAATCCGATAAGGAGGAGGGCCAAGAAAGAGTGATGATGCACAAATCTCGAGAAAAGCCTGCAGAGAAGTCCAAAAAGAGGAAGATGGAAAAAAAGGCCATTAAATCTGCCAGTTCAGTGATCATTGGCAACTTGGGAGAGAATGATTTTGGTTGAATGGTGAGGCTGAAAACCAGAATGTAGGGAGCTAAGAAGAGAGTGAAAGGAAAAGAAGAAGAGGCATTGATTGTAGACAGCTTTCTCAAAGAATTTTGCTATAAAAGAGAAGAAAGATATGAGATAATCCTAACAGACCTACGGCATATTAGGATATGCTTAGTTTCAACAATTTAGAGAAAAATTAATTTTCCCCAAACACACACTCTCTAAAGTGTTTTTTTTTTTTGGCAGGGGAAAAGAGGAGTTTTATTTATTCAGATAGCACATAGCCAACTGGGTAATTTCAGTCAAAGATGCTGACTAAAAATAGATTATAAATCAAATTTCTGTACTAATGGAGATGAAAGAAGAAGAAGGTAAGCAAGGATCTATTACTTATTTTTAAAGAAATTCTTTCTGGATTTTTCTGCAGATTTGTATTTTTATTTGTGTTCTGCTTAGATTCTTGTTAGACTTACCGTAAAGCTCTAAATATCATAGAATGAGTCTAAGCCACTGAGGAAAGCCACGTGCAAAAACAACAGATAAATTGGTCGCTCTGTGTGTGTCTATGTGTGTGCTGTGTAGGCATAGATAGCTCACCATATTTGCAAACGACATAACATGTGGAGGAATGGCAAACACATTAGATGACCAAGTCAGCATCCAGAGATCCTGGCAGGCTAGATGGATCATTGAGTGCAATCTTATTAAATGATTCCATTGGGATAAATGTGAATTCTTAAACTTGGGTTCAAAAAATAAAATTCACAAGTACATGGTGAAACACACACACATATGTATGAATTTATGTATATAGGCTTGTATGTGTATATTTCTATATCTACCTATATCTATATCTATCTGGTTTGTACTTACTTATTTGCATGTTGCCTCTCCTATTAGACCCTGAACTCACTGAGATGTGTAGATGTGTGTGAATATGTATGTATGTATGTATGTATACGTATATGCATATGTGTATGTATGTATATATGTACATATGCATGTATATGTATATGTATGTGTGTATATATTTGTCTGTATGCTGTCTCTCCTGAACTCCCTGAGAGCAGGGACTGTTTTTAAAAGTCTGTTTGGATAACCTCAGCCCTTGGCACTATGCCTGGCAGATTGTAGGTGCCCAAGAAATTCTTGTTAGCCGACTGGCTCACTGACTAAACTAGGGCTTTTTAGCCTGCTAAAGACAAAGCTAAGGAGGGGAGGAAAACTGTTTTCAGTTAAGTGAAAGGATGTCACAAGGAAGGAAATTTAGACTATTTGGCTTGGAAATATTTAAGATTGATGTGAAGACACATTTTCTAACAATAAGAATGGTTCTAAACTGGAATGGGCGCCCTCTACAAGTGGCACTTCCCCACTTCTGAAGGTCTTTAAGCCAAGACTGGATGATCACTCGTCAGGCACATTAGAGTGGGACTTCCTTTTGGTTTGGGATTGGACCAGATGCCTCTGAGGTCCCTTTCAATTACCAAATTCTATAATACTGTGATTCTATCATTCCTCTCCCAAATGACAACCCTTTCGATACTTGAAGACAGCCATCTTTTTCCTCTTTTCTTCTCAAGTCTACATATCCCTAGTTCTTTCATATGGAAAGATCTTGATGCCATTCATCATTTTGAAGTCTCTTTTCTGCATGCTTTCCAGCTCAACCACATCCTTTATGAAAATGTGACACCTAGACCCAAAGGCAATCCTGTGACGTTACCAGGAGATAGTACAGTGGGAATATCACCTCTCTAGTCCTTGGCACTCTGTGTCTATTCACGTGGCTTAAAAAAGAATATGCCCCTTTTAGCCGCTGTGAGCACAAGTTAATTAAGTATGAATTTCAAGATCATTAGAATGTTGAGTTCCAGAATAAATCAATTGTTTCCAAATAAACACCCACAGAATGTTTGCTATTCCAGGTCTCTATGGGCCATGTGTAGGAGAGCAAGAACAGAGTGTGGCAGACATGTTAAAGTAAAGGATCATATTTAATGGGAAATGGTCATGTTTATCTTCTCTTTTTCCCTTCTTAGGTATTAATTAAACAAAATGTCCAAGATAAACCATACCATGGTGACCGAGTTCATTCTCTTGGGACTGACTGACCAACCTGAGTTGCAGCCTATCCTCTTCATAATATTTTTACTGGTCTATCTCATCACTGTAGTGGGGAATGTAGGAATGATCGCGCTGATCAGGGGTGACCCCAAACTTCACACTCCCATGTACTTTTTCCTCAGCCACTTGTCATTTGTAGATCTCTGTTATGCCACCAATGTCACACCTCAGATGCTGGTCAATTTTTTGTCTCAAAGAAAAACCATTTCATTTGTAGGCTGCCTCATACAGTTTCATTTTTTCATTGCTTTGGTAATCACAGATTATTACATGCTCACAGTTATGGCCTATGACCGTTATGTAGCTATCTGCAATCCACTGCTCTACAGTAGCAAAATGTCCAAGAACGTCTGTATCTCTCTGGTTGCTGCAACCCATATCTATGGCTTTGTCAATGGTCTGATACAGACCATCCTGATGCTTCGTCTATCCTTCTGTGGCCCTAATGAGATTAACCACTTCTACTGTGCTGACCCACCTCTCATGGTCCTCTCCTGCTCAGATACTTACATCAAAGAAACTGCCATGTTTATAGTTGCTGGTTCAAACCTCACCTGCTCTCTGACAGTCATTCTCATCACTTACATGTTCATTTTTGTGGCCATCCTGCGCATCTGCTCGGCTGAGGGACGGCGTAAAGCTTTCTCTACCTGTGGCTCCCACCTGACAGCTGTCACTATCTTTTATGGGACTCTGTTTTGCATGTATCTAAAACCCCCCTCAGAGACATCTGTACAACAAGGGAAAATTGTAGCAGTTTTCTATATTTTTGTGAGTCCTATGTTAAATCCCTTGATCTATAGTCTGAGGAATAAAGATGTAAAGGAGGCTGTGAAAAGAATTGTCAGAAATAAATTATAGGCTAAATAAGGCCACAATTTCCATCCTATCTGTGTTTCTCCAAGATTACATATAGATGGCCCCCAATAAGTGTTTGCAGATTAATTGCTATTAGTACTAGTATCCAAAGAGACAGCACGGTAGACGTCCAAGAGATATGTAATAACAAGGAATTTTCAGTCCTTGTTAGCCATGGTTGGAGCATATATGTAAACATATCTGTATGTACACACACACATTAGATAGATAGATAGATAGATAGATAGATAGATAGATAGATATAGATACATATATATGAACATATTGAAACCATATACTTCCTTTTTTCACTTTAACAAGTTTTAATTGATATCTTTCCTTTTTATGCCAGTCATTTCTTGACATGTAGTCCAAAAAGCATGGCATATAGTACCTTCCCTTGGAAAAAAAGAAAAACAGACACAAAGACCACATATTTGTATATGTATTATTCATTTGTCTAGAGTCTTCTCTTTTGCTCTCTTTCTTGGGGGGAGGAAATGTGTTTCATTTGTTTGTTCTCTGAGACATTGGAATTTATCTGAGTGCAGACAGCAGTGTGTTGTTCTCACTGACATTACTAAACTCATGCTCATTGTTATCCTGGCTCTACTTTCTTTACTCTGCATTAGTTGACATTTATTTACATTGTCCTGAATTCACATGTGTTTCATATGATACCATACTATTGTATTATATTTGTAAATTACATACAATTTATTCATCCACCCTCCAACTGATCAAACCCACAATATTTCCAGTTTTTTTCCCTACCATATAATGTGCTAGTATCCATATTTAGGGTATTTCTTTATTTTACACTCTTGAGGTATAAGATATGACAAGTCATGGAATCAGAAGGTCAGAGGCTCTGAGTTACTCAATACTATTCATTATGTAATTCTAAATTGCTGTACAAAATTATACATATATATATATACATATACATATATATACACACATACATATAAGGGTGTACACATATGTATGTATGTATATATATATATATATATATATATATTATATATATACACACACACACACACACATACTTGTGTGTGTGTCTGTGTGTATGCCTTCTCAATGTCCCTTAAACATTGCTTAATTCCATTTTTTTTATCATTGCAAATTTAATTCATACATTTCATTAGTAAAATTCATTTTTCCTATTGGATGTTCTAATTATATTTTATAATGGAGGCTGTGTTGGGTAATTAAAATGATGGTACAGTCATAATTTAAAGATTTCCCTTTCAGACCACTAGTTAAAAAAAAAAGTTAAGGCTGAAATCTGTAAGAAGAAACATGATCAAGTTTGCAGTTATCTGACCACGAATATATCATCATAAAAGATTCCAAATATATTCTTCATATCTAAGATAGATCTAGCCACCAGAAATCAATGATAAAACCACATTAAATCTATTAACTAAGAATACCCCATTGTTCACTTGAGAATTGTCCAGCGTTGTCACATGACACTCCCCACCAATTTGCTGGGGAGAAGGTATTTGCTTCTTTTTAGCAATTCTTTAAGAACTGAGTCTAGGACCCTAAATAGTCATTCAAAGTTCTCCTTACACAGGAGGATCTTTGAAAAATGGTATAAATACAGAGCACCCTTGGTTAGATATTTTATATTTCCTGCATGAAAATCAACCTGCAATCCATAATTATTGCTTTTGTGAATTTGTTCAGGCATTGTATATGGAATGACAGTTTGTTCAAGATGGCGAAAATTACACCAAGGGAATAATTTTCTTTTATTTTCTATTTTTAAAAAATTCATTTTGAACTTAAATACAAAAAGACAAAAAAGAACATTCCTATGTACACAGCACAGCATAAAACGAAGATTAAATAGAAAACCATGAATTTCCATTTCACATTTACTTTTTTGGAAACCCATGTAATAAACAGTACATATCATTTTCAAAGTTACCCGACTTTTCCTTCTGTTTACTTTTGTCTTCAGTTGTGCACTTTTCATTTTCTCTCTGCCTCCCCACCCCAGTCTAGAGCTGGCTGCCATTAGACACAGAAATGTACATATGTATAAAACCATGCTATACAGATTTCTATTCTTCAGTTGTTTCTCTAGATGTGGATAGAATTTTTCTTCATTGGTCCTTTGAATCTGATTTGAGTATTTACGATACTCAAAATGACTTAGCTGTTCAAAGATGTTCTCAGAACAGCATTGGCATCACTGTGTACAACATTCTCTTGGTTCGACTCATTTTTTCATGCAAGTATTTCCATGGTTCTCTAAAATCAACCAGATCATCATTTTTATAACACAATGGTATTCCGTCAAAATCATATACCATAACTTGTTTAGCCATTCCCCAATTGAGAAGCATCCCCTCAATTTCCAGTTCTTTGCTGCTATAAATATGTTGGAACATATAAGTTCATTTCCTCTTTTCCTAATCACCTTCAGACAGACATCTAACAGTGATATTGCTGGGTCAAAGTTTTGTAATTCTTTGGGGATAATTCTAGATTGTATTCCATAAGGGTTGGAGCAGTTCCCAGGGAATCATTTTAAAGAGGTCATTCAAACCTCAGAGTCTTCATGGTTTCCCTGTTAGATTTTAGTTGACAACTCCATTTAATGAAACATATTACGCCTCAGCAAAAGACATTTTCTCATACAAGTGTTCATAAAATTATCTTATAAATTTTTTCCACATTTTTCAGTCCATCTGCTCAATCAACTATCTGGGCCTAAATGGCTCGATATTTCAGGTACCTGTTGAATGGGGTTTGCCCTAGAAGATTACCTTTTAAGATCTCTTTTGGAGTTATGAAAATTATATCTTCATTTGTTTAACTTTTTAAACCTAAAACAAAAACAAAACACACAAAAAACAGCTTGATTCTCCTCACTCCAATCAGCTCTGCATATCACACCCAGTTATCCATTTATGTGACAGTTTATGTTTCGAAAAAAAAATGCTATGACCCTAGTCAGATCTCTTCACTTCATTACTTTCTCATTGCTTGCAGAACGTTAACCAACTGGCATCCTAACACTGCAGGCCCTCTAGTCCAGTCTGCATTTCTGATCCTTTCTTGGGTGATCCCCAATGTCAATACTCTCTGTCTTTGACCACCAAGTCCTTCAGTGGAGTAGGTATGGTGACTGATGTTAGCTGCACTCCATCCCAGCCCACTCTGAAAGAAGAATGACCTCAGATCTACCATTAGATGTCAATCTGTTAATTAAAGAGTCCTATTAAAGAGGAACGCAGTACTCCAGCAAAACTGCCTTCCTTGCAGTTCTCTGAAATACTATGTGCTTTCTAGCCTCCACATCTTTTCCCAAACCTCTCTGTCTATAAAATGACCTTGAACATGCAGTCACAGACACAATTCATAGAGCTGGAATGGATCCCTGAAAAAATCTTATCCAACCTATATACGAACATGAAATCCCTCAGCAACATTCCTGATAAATGGCCATTCATCTTTTTCTTGAAGACTTTAAGTGAGGATGAAACCACTGCCTTCTGAGGAAACTTGTTCTGTTGTTGGACAACTCCAATAGTTAGGAAGGTCTTCCCTCTGTCATGCATAGGCTTCCTGTTTTGTAACTTCATATATAGTTCCTAGTTCTGCCCTATGGGACCATGAAAAATGACTCTTATGTCTGACTCTCCCCTTCCTCCCACAGAAGAGCCCTTCCAACACCCGAAGATAACTATTACCTCCTCATCTTCTCCAGGCTTCCTCTGATTTCCACTTTTCATTCATCCAAAGTCTATAAAGCCCATGTGGGACCTGCCCCCCATATAGCATGAAGCCTTCTCTTATCATATAAGGTCATGATGAGCTTGCCTTTTTATTGGCACATCATATACTTCTCTCCAACTAATAGTCTTACAGATGTTCTTGAAGATGTTGAGAGGTTAAGTGAAGTTATTTACCCAGGGTCACACAGTCAACATGCGTCAAAGGCACAAATTTGAACACTGGGCTTCATAACTTCAAAGTCAGCTGTCTATCCATTTTTTCCATACTACGTCTTAGTACCAGTTTGCATAGGCACAGCTAGTATTTAACTAAAAATAAATGCAAATCAGCAAACACATTAAGCATCTATTAAGTGTTATGTGCCAGGAATAAAAAAGACAAACAATTAAAGAGGAACCACAGCACAGAAGCAAGTGTGTGCACTGGATCTGGAGTCAGAGAACCTGAATTCAAATCCCAGCTCTATTTTCTACTAGCTTTGTGACCTTTGACAAGTCACTTAGTCTCTTTGGGCTTTAATTCTGTTATTTGTAAAATGAGGCATGTTGCACTTGGTGGTCTCAAAGGTTTCTTCTTCCCCTAAATCTATGACTTAATCTTATGAAAGACTTCATCTTCCTTGTTATTGAAGAGTCATTTCAGTTGTATCAACCCTTCATGACCCCATTAAGTATCTTGGCAAAGACACTGGAGTGGTTTGCCATTTTGTTCTCTAGTTCATTTTACAGATGAGGAAGTGAGGCAGCAAGGTTAAGTAATTTGTTCAGAGTCACACACCTAGTAAGTATCTAAGACCAGATTTGAACTCAGGCCACATGTAATGTCACTTAGCTATGCAGTAAAAGAGTGGAGTTTTGGCCCCAGAAATTCATTAGCCACTGCTCTGTTTCCCTTGAAGCCCTCTAGTGAGGCTAGACCTGCTAACTCAGGACCCAACCCATGCCAGTGTGGGGCAACTTTTAAGTGATAGGAACTTCTAATTTTACTTTTCACAGCCTGACTTTCTGGAAATTCCCTTTGTTGCTTTGTGTTCTGTCCTTCTGAAAGAGGAAGGAAACCACTTCATGACAATTAGAGAGCTTCATATAGATCAAGTAATCACTCCTCCAGGGAAAGCCCTTCTAGTATGTCAAGCGAATTCTAACATCTCCCCAAGTCTTCTCCTCTGTGGGATAATGGCCTCAGAGGGAATGTGTTTAACTCAACCCTTAGCAATAGGGGCAGTTCAGAACAGCCTCTTGTAAAATAAATTAATGAATCAACTAGTATTTATTAAGCACATAGAATTTTCAGAAAAAATGAGAAGGGAACTGGATATCTTGAGACAAAAGAGCAAGTAGGAATATTTGAAAATATTTCATAAAAGGAAAAGAAACTACTTATGTTGGGAGATAAGGATGGAACTGAGGCAGGTTTTCTGTCTCCCCTTTCTCTCACTAAATGTAATGTATCCAGACAAATCCATCTAGTGCAGAGAACACAGAATTTGAGGGCGCTGAATCTGGGTTTGAATCCTGGCTCTGCCACAGCCTATTACAACCTGTGTAACCTTATAAAAATCACTTAAGCTCTCTGGGATTCAGTTTCTTCATCTGTAAAATGAGAACTTACATAGTTGATCTTGAAGGTTTACGGAACATCTAAAAATTAACACAAAATCTATGGAATTGCCCATTAATACTTCACATCTCAAGGGTTAATAATCAGGGGTGTTACTGTGAAAATGCTTTAGAATTATTGTGTATATTCCCATCTAGGATTCCACTTCATCACAGGATCACAGGATTTAGACCTCAGAAATCACATAATCCAACTTCCTTTATTTTAAAGATGAGGACACATGCTCAGAGAATATAACTGATTTGCCCAAGGACATACAGCTAGCTATTAAGACTCAAAGCTGGGTCTTCTCACTGTACATCTAATATTCTTTCAATTGTTCTTGGATGCCTTTATGGAGAGAGTAGAATGTAGATAAAAGAGGGAGACAGGGATGAGTGCACTGATTTTACAGAGAGGAGAAGGAAGGTTCACAGAGGCACAGTATCTTACAGAATGTCAGTAATTGAGTTGGGATTTGAACCAGAACAATTTGACTCCAAATCTCGAGCTCATTTCTCTACATTGTACAGGGAAAATATGATATTGAGGTTACTGAAGAAAATGTTTCCTCAACTGGAAAAGGTAAGAAAATACATAACATGATACACACTGAAATGTAATTAGCTGGAGTTTTGCCTCTACATTCAGCTGAAGGGAGAGATGTGGGGAAACTTACCTGCTAAGGAAAGATTAGGGATTACAGAGAGATGTTCCTTCACAATGCTCCCTCAATTGTAACTTTCTGGGGATGGGGGAATAACTTAGAAGAAACCTAGTTTAAGTACCTTATCTGCTGCACAGATTTAGTGAAGTGCTTAAGTGACTCTACTCCCAGAGTCAAATATCTATTCAGTTCCTGAAAATACAGTATTCCATCTTCCCTTAGGCAACTTCATCCTGCTCCTATTCCTATGAGACTAAAGCTACCATTCATTCCTTTCCCCTACTCTACCAGACGCATCAGAAATTCACTCAAATGATGGTAAAGGACACTATATCACTGCGGTTGTGTTGTGTATTCTTAAAATAATGCGTTAACACACGTTAGCCTAGTCCTGCATATGCCCAGTCCAGGTTTGGGAACCAGTATCAGTTGTACCCCAAGGACCACTCCATCCCTCCCCCCAAATATCCTAAAAGCTTGTGAGTTTTTAAAATAACTTCACTACTACAGAGGGATTAAATAGAAGTGGAGTTAGAGAATTAGGATTAGTAACAAGTCACTCTTCACACATAGCAGTCTTTTAAAAAATTGAATACAACCATCATGCCCCAAAATTTTCTCCTCTCCAGTTAAATATTCTTTGAAGTGGTTTCATATGATGAGATCATTTAGAATTCTAGGTGCATTGCCCTTCACAAAATATTGTTCATAGAAATGAACAAAATATTCTAGATGTGTCACAACCAGGTACAATTTCCTTCTTAGTCTAGGACACCATGGGTCTATTTGTATATAAAACCATTTACATTCAATATTTTGGCTGCCATGTAATGCTACTGATTAATAATAATGAGTTTGTAATACCTTCCAACTTTCACTTCCTCAAATCAAACTCTCAAAGCCATTCAACAATTTGCTGCTCAAGAGCAAAACATTAGGATTCATCTTTTTGTGTATTTTTATGTGTTTATGTTTAGGGGTGTGTGTGTTTAAAACAGAAGGCCTTTAGAAATGACAGTCTGAAACACGAGAGAATTTTGCAAATTTCTTCAAAAAGAAATTCAGTGTGCTTTCATGGATTAATACTATACTTGGTGGCAAAAAACCTACATGCGATTCCAGATGCCTTTATATTGCAATATTGGGCAGATCTTTTATTTCTCATGGGCCTGTTTCCTTCTAAATGAAATCATCACAGCAGCAGACATTCTCTGTGTTGTTTGGAGTTGTTGTGAAGGAAATGTTCTGTGAAATGCAAAGAGCCACATTACATTGATTTATTTCTCCTTTGTTTCCATTAATGTCAGAAGACCACGAAGACCCAGAGAAATGCCAAGGCAAAATAACAGCACCAGAGTAACTGAATTTATTCTCCTTGGTCTCACAGAACGTCCTGAACTACAATATATCCTGTTTGTTGTTTTCCTTGCAATCTATATGCTCACCCTATTAGGAAATGTTGGAACGATCATTTTGATCAGACTTGAGCCCTGCCTGCATACTCCCATGTACTTTTTTCTTACTAACTTGGCTTTTGTAGACGTGTGCTATTCCTCCAATGCAACCCCACAGATGCTGGCTAATTTCTTATCAGAAAGGAAGACCATTTCCTTTGCTGGTTACTGTGTGCAGTGTTACATTTTCATTGCTTTACTGCTCACTGAGTTTTACATGTTGGCTGCCATGGCCTATGACCGCTATGTTGCCATCTGCAACCCACTACACTACAGTGTGAAGATGTCCTGGAGAGTCTGTATCTGCCTGGCCACCTTCCCCTCCATCTGTGGCTTCTCTGACGGGCTTCTCCAATCCATCCTGACATTCCATTTGTCCTTCTGTAGATCCAACGTCATCAATCACTTCTACTGTGCTGACCCTCCTCTCATCAAGCTGTCATGCTCTGATCCCTATGTCAAAGAACATGCCATGATCATCTCGGCTGGGTTCAACCTCTCCGTCTCGCTGATCATCATTCTCATCTCCTGTGCCTTCATCTTGGCAACCATTCTCTGCATTCGCTCTGCTGAGGGAAGGAAGAAGGCATTCTCCACCTGTGGTTCTCACATGACGGCTGTTACTTTGTTTTATGGTACTCTCTTCTATGTGTATGTGAGAACAGCCACTGATAAAAGCGTTGAGGAATCCAAACTCATAGCTGTGTCCTACACTTTTGTGAGTCCTGCGCTCAGCCCACTCATGTATAGTCTGAGAAACAGGGATGTGAAAGCAGCTCTGAGGAAGGTGCTCAGGAGGAATCAACTGAAGACGATGGCTTCAAATGCATCACAGACCCTACTTATTTCAGTCAAATGGCCCTGTGGTCGGATACATTGAATGAGTAATGTGTCCAGTGTGCCAAAGTCTCAGTTTCTATATGAGGGAAAGGAATGGGACAAAAATTAAGATTATACAAAAACTACAGATTTCTTGCACATTTTAACCTCATTTCATATCAGATTTTACATAAGTAGCAAAGAAACTGTCCTAAAAAATCATCTTTGGTGCAGTTCTGAGCAGAGAAAAATCCAAATGCACACAGAGCCTTTTCAAATTTCCTAGTACATTAGGAATATTCCCAAAATATGGGTCTGACCACAGCACTCCACTACTCTAAGAAATCCTGTGGCTCCTCATTCATTCAAGAATGAAATTCAAACTTCTCTGTTTAGGAATTAAAGTCCTTAACAATTTAACTACACTTTGGCTTTTCAAATTTATTATTTTTATATTATAATATTATATTTTATTTGCTCTATAACATTCCCCTTTACAGACTCAATAGTCCAGCCAAAGTAGTTTTCTGGCTTTTCCATTCATGCTCTGTTTCATCTATTCTTTCCTTTTCAATTTTTTAAAACAATTAAATGCATTTTATTTTTAATTTATGGAATACAACAAGTATTTCCATAACACATTATAATTTAAAAAAATGATTGCACATGAAACTTCAAATCTACTATGTACAACTTGCTATTTCTTTTAAATACACAATAAAGTCATCATGTACGTTTATGTTTTCTTTTTTCTTCCCTCTTTCCTCCCCCTGCCCTAGAGATGGCCACCATTAGACTCCAATAGGTATATGTGTGCATGTGTGTAAAATTATGCTAACATGCTTCTATCATGCCCGTGAAAGCGTCTCTATTCACCTCTGTCTTTTAGAATCACACAGATTTCTTCAAATCTCAATTCAGATGCTCATTCCTCCACAGGGCCCTTCTGATTCTCCCAAATGTAATTTTCCTTTCCTTCAAATAATTTAATATTTACTTTTTATCTATTTTATACAGTTAGTCAATCATTCAAGTAAGTTAGTCCTCTAGGATTTAATAAGCAGGATATGAAGCTCTGAGAATACACATACAAGTGGAAAGAAATATAGTCCACACTCTCAAAGAGCTTACATATTAATGTAGAAAGACACCAATTAAAAGGAAGTTGAAAAGAGGAGTGAGACATGACTGGTTTGGGTTGTTATCTAATTAGAGGAGTGGAGGTTATTTCAATATGTATATCCTAGAGCAGGGGTGAGGTTTCAGGAAGAAGAACAGGAGCATTGTACAGGAGGTCTGGGCAGGATGGAGAGAAAACACACATGTACATACATGCATAAATACATGCACATATATCCATAAATGTGCATGTACACATCTATCCATTTATGTCTATAAAACAATTCATATATATCCATTTCTAGATATACAGATATGTGTGCATACATTTATGTATATATGTGTATGTATATATGTATATGTGTGTATGTATGTATGTATGTATGTATGTATGTGTGTATATGTGCATATATGTATATGTGTGTATGTATGTATGTATGCCTGCATATGCATATATTTGAGTGTATTCTGATGTTTTTCCCCACAATAGAACATAAGTTCCTTGAAGGGAGAGACTGGTTCATTTCTTTCTTCCTCACACTCAATAAAGTGCTTAATAGATGTTGATTTTCATTGAACTGACTACAAGCTCGAAGGTCATTCCCACATTTAATATCGCGTTATTTCATGTATTTGAAGACTTATTCTGTGATAATGATCTGTTTGGTTTAAAAGATGATCCATGATGCAATGTGAAGGAGTATTTCCAAACCCAATGATAGCAAATGAAGTGCAAAATATACCAAATAAATATACCTGCCATTAAATAAGTAATTCAATATTACATAAAACAAAATTCATAGTATCACAAATCTAATTAAACATTTTTAGTAAAGATGATTCCACCAATTGCTATTTCTCTCTAGGGATATTTACCCAAGTGACTCTTGATTCTTTGGAATGTGCTAGAAAATGTTTCAAGGAGAAAAGCATCAAACTGCCAAGAAGGAATAAGGTCACACAGTGAGACTCATTGAGTGTTCCCATGGTAGCTCACTCTAGATCTCACCCTTGTTGGCATGTAGGTCTGTCCACTGCAGTTTTCCTTCTCTCTGTGGCCTGTTTCATCCCACTTAGGAAACAGCAGGGTGTTAATGGGGGATCTCTGAATGTAACCTTACAGACTGTGCTCAAGGAAATCAGTGAAAGTGGTAGCATCTCTCAAAAATGTTATAAACACTAAACAAACTGTAGAAATTCTTGGGTGGGAGAATTCTGTTCTGGACATTAGAAGACATTTTCAAATACTCACAGAGCTGTTGCGGCAACAAAGAAAAGCTTTGGGAAACTTCAAGCATTATTGAAATGGCAGTATTCCTCACATAAGAGAAAAAATTATCCATATTTCCATGGATCTATTGTTCAGTTATTTTTCAATCATGTCTGACTCTTCATCTTCATGACCTTTTTTCTCCAAACGAGGTCATGAAGAGTCAGACATGATTGAAAGTTTTCTTGGCAAAGATACTGGGGTAATTTGCCATTTCCTTCTCCAGATGATTTTATAAACAAAGAAACTGAGGGAAATAGGGCTAAGTGACTTGCAGAGGGTCACAGAGCTACTAAGTGTCTGAGGCCAGATTTTAACTCAGGAAATGTGTCTTCCTTACTTCTAGGCCCAGCATTCTACACATATGCCCAATATACTTCAGGAAATTAGGAACAATGATTACATTGGTCTATCCTGGCTTTGAATTCAGGTTTGGCTGATTTAAATTAGCGTCAAAAAGTTGGAAACTAATTGTAAGTTACTCTAATAATAGAAGGCAAATCAATTAACTAAGCTTATTGCCATCTTATTTAGTTAAATTATATGTGGAGTACATCATACAAAATGCCAAGCTGGAAGAATCAGAAGCTTGAATTATGATTGCTAGGAGAAATATCAGCAATCTCAGATATGTAGATGATATGACTCTGATAGCCAAATATAAGAGGAATTAAGAAACCTATTAATGAGGGTGAAAGAAGAGACTATAAAAGCTGACTTGAAACTTAACATCAATAAATTCAAGATCTTGGCAACTTATCTCATCACTTTCTGGTAAAAAGAGGAAGAAGAAATGGAAACAGTGTCCCATTTTCTATTCTTGGGCTCAAAGATCACTCCAGATGATGATTGCAGCCGTGAAATTAAAGGACACTTGTTCTTTGGGAGGAAAGCTATGGTAAATCTGACAGCATACTAAAAAGCAGAGACAGCATCTTGCCAATAAATGATCATGTAGTAAAAACTACGGTTTTTCCAAGAAAACTATGTTTTTTTTATGGCTAAGAGAGATGGACTATGAGGAAAGATAAGCCCTGTCCTATCGATGCTTTTGAATTGAGATACTGGAGAAGACTATTGAGAAGTCCTTGGACAGCAAGATTAAATGAGTTAAAACTTAAAGAACTTGGGGTGGCAGAGCCAAGATGGTGCAGTAAAAGCAATGATTCGCTTGAGCTCTTCCTGAAACCCCTCCAAGAACTTGTAAAAAGTGGCTCTAAACAAATTCTAAAGCAGCAGAACCCACAAAAAGACAGAGTGAAACAAATTTGCAGCCCAAGACAACACGGATGGGTGATTGAAAGTTATACAGCACTGAGCTCCAAGAGAAACTTAGTTCAGCATGGTTGTGCAGGCAAAACAGGCCTCAGCATACCTGGAGCACCCTTCAAAGGACTGAATCAAGGACAGCTGTGGCAATTTCCAGTCTTTTCCACCCACTAATGCCAAAGACAACTTAAAAGGTCAGTAAAGAAAAAAGTCTGTGACTGCAGTAAGAGAGAAATCCTGTCCTAGCCTAGTCCCTGTGCATGGCCCCAGGGTGGTGGCTGCCTCCAGAGCTTCTGTCCCACAGACTGAGGGGGAATCGAGTGACTGATCAGATGGGGATTTCATGAATCTCTTTGCTGGTGCTGATGCAGGATTCTCTTGCTTTGCCCATGCTTGGATTTGGGTCAGAGTTCTGGGTGGCAGTCCTGGGGTGAGGAGGAGTGCTGGTGTAGTGGAGCTCATGGTGGAGGCAAAAAGGGAATCCTCCTCACACTTCCAAGGGAGAAAAGAGTGTTTTTGGTCACTCATAGACCAGAACACAGGCCAGGAAAGGAGTAAGGACCTCACTCCTGATCATACCAACTTGGAAGAACTGCAAAGTTACACGTCCCTAGAAGTATTTCTGAAAATAGTAGCACAAAACCCCCAAAGCTTGGGACAGTACATTCTCCACACTGGATGCAGACCCCTACCTTAACAAAGATTTTAAAATTCAAGTAACTGGCTGAGATCATGAACAAACTGTGTAAAAAAAATAAGACCATAGAGTCTTTTGTTGCAAAGAAGATGAAAATATACAACCAGAAGAACACAACAAAGTCAAAGCTCTTACATCCAAAGGCTCCAAGAAAAATATGAATTGGTCTCAGGCCTCAGAAGAGCTCAAAAAGGATTTTGAGAAGTAAGTAAGAGAAGTAGAGGAAAAACTGAGAAGAGAAATGAGAGTGATGCAAGAAAATATTAAAAAAAAATACTAGTCAACAGCTTGCTAAAGGAGACTCAAAAAATATTGAAGAAAATAACACCTTAAAAAATAGCCTAACCCAAATGGCAAAAGAGGTCCAAAAAGCCAATGAGGAGAAGAATGTCCTAAAAAGCAAAACTGGCCAAATGGAAAAGGAAGTCCAAAAACTTACTGAAGAAAATACTTCCTTAAAAATTAGAAGGGAGCAATTGGAAGCTAGTGACTTTATGAGAAATCAATACCGTGTAAAACAAATCCAAAAGAATGAAAAAAATAGAAAACAATGTGAAATATCTGACTGGAAAAACAACTGACTTGGAAAACAGATCCAGGAGAAAGAAATTAAAAATTATTAGATTGTCTGAAAGCCATAAAAAAAAAAGAGCCTGGACATCATCTTTCAAGAAATTATCAAGGAAAACTGCCCTGATATTCTAGAACCAGAGGACAAAA